GTTATCAACCTACCTTAGAACTGCTTTTGGTATATCCCAAAGATTTTGGACCATTATATTTTTGTCTAGATGTATTTATTTATTTATTTATTTATTTATTTAATTTAAAATGCATTTTTTTTTAGTGTTTATTTTTGAGAGAGAGGGAAAGACAGTGTGAGGGGGAGAGGGGCAGAGAGCTAGGGAGACACAGGATCCAAAGGAGGATCTAGGCTTGAGCTGTCAGCACAGAGTCCAACGTGGGGCTCGAACCCGTGAACTGCAAGATCATGACCTGAGCTGAAGTCTGATGCTTAAATGACTGAGCTACCCAGGCGCCCCTAGTCGTATTTTTTAATTTCCTCTGATTTCTTGGTGACCATTGGCTGTTTCTTGCCATGTTGTATAGCCTCCATGTGTTTGCATTTTCTCTCTTTTTTTTCTTGTGATTAATTTCTATTTTAATACTGTTGTGGTTGGAAAAGATGCATGTTATTCCACTTTTCTTAAATTTATTGAGACTTGTGGCCTTAATGTGATCTATCTTGGAAAATGTTCCATGTGCATCTAAAAAGAATATGTATTCTGTTTTTGTATTAAATGTTCTGTATATACCTGTTAGGTCCATCTGGTCTAATGTCTTGTTCAAAGACTTTGTTCATTTTTCTTATTGATTTTCTGCTTGGATGATGTATTCATGGATATAAGGGGTGTTAAAGTCCCTTACTATTACTGTGTTACTCTCAATTTCTCCCTTTATGTTTGTTAATGTTTGTTTTATGCATTTAGGTGCTCCAGTGTTGGGTTTGTGGATATTTACAACAATTGTTATACCTTCTTGTTGAATTGCCCCTTTATCATTATGTAAATACTTTGTCTCTTATTACAGTCTTTGTTTCAAAGTCTGTTTTATCTGATTTGAGTTTTTACTCAGATCAGATACCAGCCTTTTTTTTCTGCTTCTGTTCGTATGGTGTCTTTTTCCATCCTTCCACTTTCATTCTTTATGTGTCTTTAGGTCTGAAATATAGTCTGCATATAGATGAGTCTTGTTTTTTTTTTTTTCAGCGTTTATTTATTTTTGGGACAGAGAGAGACAGAGGATGAACGGGGGAGGGGCAGAGAGAGAGGGAGACACAGAATCGGAAACAGGCTCCAGGCTCTGAGCCATCAGCCCAGAGCCCGACGCGGGGCTCGAACTCACGGACCGCGAGATCGTGACCTGGCTGAAGTCAGACGCTTAACGGACTGCGCCACCCAGGCGCCCTGAGTCTTGGTTTTTTATCCATTCCGCCATCCTATGTCTTTTGATTTGAGCGTTTAGACCATTTACATTTGAAGTAATTTATTGATAGGTGTGTACTTACTGCCATCTGTTAATTGTTTTCTGGTTATTTTTGTAATTCTCTGTTACTTTTTTTCCCTCTTGCTGTCTTTCTGTGTGATGACTCAGTAGTGTTTTGATTGACTTTCTCTTTATTTTTATTTTTTATTTTTTTGGAAAGAGAGAGGAAAAGAAAAAAAGCATGAGCCAGGGAAGGGGCAGAGGGAGAGGAAGAGAGAGAATCTTAAGCAGGCTCCACACTGAGTGGAGGGGCTTGATCTCACAACTGTGAGATCATGACCTGAGCCAAAACCAAGAGTCAGACACTTAACTGACTGAGCCACTCAGGAGCCCTGTGGATGATTTTTAAATTTACATGGGAGACCACAAGGCCAAGAACAGCCATGATATTTCTGAAGAACAGGTAGGGTGGATTTACCCTACCACATATATAAGCGCCTATTACAACTACATAATAATGCAGTGTGGTAAGGTTTAAGTATGGATAACAAAATAGAATAGAGAGCCTAGAAACAGTTCCACAAAGCACCTGTTTAGAGGAGAAAAGAGGGATTATTTAGTAATTGGACCTGGAGAAAATAGTTACCTGTTTTCACCTGGAAAATGATGCAATTGGCTCACTATTTCACATGCTATTTAAAAAAATCTGCTTAAAGGTGCCTAGGTGGCTCAGTCATTTAAGTGACTGACTTCGGCCCAGGTCGTGATCTCACAGTTCATGAGTTCAAGCCCCATGTGGGGCTCTCTGCTGACAGCTCAGAGCCTGACGCGGGGCTCGAACCTACGGACCACGAGATCATGACCTGAGCCGAAGTCGGACGCTCAACCGACTGAGCCACCCAGGCGCCCCAAAAACATTTTTTTTAATAAAAAATTACACTTAGATTAAAGAATTAATATCTGTTCAATAGCACAACTTCAACACACCTAGGGAGGCATATGTTTTTTGGACTTTTAAGTAAGGAAAGATTGCTTAAAGAGGAAACAAAAAGGTATTGTCTATAAAGGGAAAGATGATAAACTTAACTCCCTCTCTTTCTGCTCATCTCCCACTCACACTCTGTTTCTCTCTTTCTCTCTCTCTCTCAAGAATAAATAAATATTAAGGAAAAAAAAAGAACTTTGACCCTTCTCTTATACCATACACAAAAATCAACTCCCAAGTGGGTTAAGATTTGAATGTAAGATCTAAAATTGTAAAACTAGGAGCGCCTGGGTAGCTCAGTCGGTTGAGGTCATGATCTCACAATTGGGGATTTCGAGCCCCGCATCAGGCTCTGTGCTGACAGCTCTGAGCCTGGAGCCTGCTTTGGATTCTGTGTCTCCCCCTCTCTCTGCCCCTCCCCTGCTCACACACACACACACACACACACACACACACACACACTCTCTCTCTCTCTCTCTTTCTCTCTCAGAAATAAAATAAAAACATAAATTTAAAAAAAAGATAGCAGTTAACATATTTGACTGAAAAAAATTAAAAATTCTGATGATACGAAGTATGTGTTGATTTACTGTCCTCCAACTTGGGTATTGCCCTAATCCTTTTAACTAAAGCCTCTCCATCCATTGTTTGGTTGAGTATTATTTTGTCACTAATTAAATTTATTTCTTGCCCCAAGAAGGGCTCGTTCATTATTCATGCTTGAGAATGTTTGCCTTTTATACTTGAAAATCACCTTGGCGGTGTATACCAAACTATTAATACCAACTTAAGTACTGTGTAGAATGCAGAAAAGGTGTAAAAAATAGGAGCTGGGGGACTTAGGGAAAAAGCTTTTCTTGCAGAATATTTCTTTACAAAATATACTGAGTTTACAGGATATATTAATGTTAAAATCATTTCCCCCAATAGAAGAGTAGAAGGATGCAAAGAAAAAAGATAAGTAGGATGATAGGACTGTAAGGAATTTAAAACACTGGAGAATATGTTATAAGTTCTAGACAGTCCTCAATGATTATTACTTCCCACTTTTTCTCCATCTGCCTCCAAATCTGTGGTTATGTTGTTCATTTTTTCCCATATTATTTTTCAGATAAATTGAAAAAGAGACTAATTTTTCAGATCTCATTGTTAAGTAGATTATGATCTTATAAAAATTGCTGCTATAATTTTTTTAAAACACTTTTCTATTAAGAAGAAATAAAAAGTCCAATAACCTTAATTCTGAGTTCTCAAATGTTACAACTGAATTTCTGACTTACATTCTATATAATTCTATATAATTGTTAGAAATATATCAGTTTTTTTGACTCTTTTTTCTGGTTTGAGCATATTCAGGTTAACAACTTTGCTGGAAAGGATGTCAAAATAAAGCATTGTAGGCCTTTTTAGTTTTCTGGAGGAGGAGTACACCTATATTCTAGCATATGTTTATTATTTTTCCACTTAACTGTTCAAATAAACAAATGTTAAAAGTATTTTCTTGGACTTGACTTGAAGTTTCTACATAAATTTCAGGAACTAAAAAAAATTTCATTGTTCAAATTTTCCCATATACAGAAAAATACAGAACAGTGAAAAACTTATGGTATATTTACCACCTAGATTTAGGAGTTTGTTTGTTTGTTTTGAGAGTGTGTACACAGCAGGGGAAGGGTAGAGGGAGAGAGAGAATCCTAAGCAGGCTTCATGCCCAGCGTGAAGCTCAATCCAAGAGTCAAACTCTTAACTGACTGAGCCACCCAGGCACCCCAGCAGATTATTAACATTAGTATATTTATTTGTTCTGAAGTATTGTAAACTGCAGCTATCATAACACTTTAGCTTTGTAATACTTACACTGTGACTCTCTTAAAAAAAAAAAAAAAAAAAGACACTTCTGGGAGTGCCTGGGTGGCTCAGTCCGTTAAGTGTCTATTGATTTCAGCTCAGGTCATGAACTCATGGTTGTGAAAGTAATCCACATTTGGGATGCGCTCTCTCTGCCCTTCCCCCTTCATGGCACACACTCTATTTCTTTCTCTTTCTCATTCTCATTCTCTCTCTTTCTCTAAAAATAAATAAATAAAAATTCTAATTGAAAAAAAGACACTTCCAGTATAACCATAGTACTATTATCTCATCAAACAAAATCAGTAATAATTGTTTAATATCTGATATGTAGACAATGTTTAGATTTCCTTATTTACCCTCAAACTGACTTTTAAAATTTCATTTATTTGAGTCAAGATGTAACTCTCACAAGATTCCCTTATACTAGAACAGTTTTCCTTCCCCTGCTTTTTTCCCACCTTAATTTCATTTGTTGAAACCAAGACAATAGTCCTATAGAGTGTTACAATTTCTCCTATTTTGTGGTATTCTTAACCATGTTACTTGAGTCTCTGAATTTCCTATAAATTGGAACTTAGATCCAGTGGATTGTTTAGATTTAGATTAAACTTTTTTCCTAAAAAATACTTCATAGATAGATAATGCTGAATACTTAATTTTGCAGCACAAAATCTTACTCAGTGATGCTAAGGTTAATCAGAGTGTGCAGGTTCTAGAATTGTTTTTGGGTTTTTTTAGCAGAATAAATTTACTGTGGCAATATTCCTCAAAGTGTGTAAAAGAGGATACTCAGTAAATATTTGTTGATTTGTCTTTTGTTTTTTTTTACATACTCCTTTCCTTAGGTTCTCCTTTTCTTGTGTGAAAAAATAAGACAATTACTTTCATTTTTCACTACAGATTTTCAGCTACTGATGTTACAAACAAAATATTGCAGCATAGAGTTGAGGAAAAGACTTAAACCAGGTGAGTAGTAAGAAAAGTCTGAAGAAATGATAAGACTACCATTTTTATGAAGTTCATTATTGGGATGATTGATAAAATTGGAATATGAACCATAGGATACTCTCTAAATTAAGTTTCCTCAATTTGATAATGTTACTGTGAAATGTAAGAATATTCTGAGGTAAGGCACCTGGATGACTCAGTTGGTCAAGTATCTGACTTCGCCTCAGGTCACGATCTCACAGTTTGTGCTTTCGAGCCCCAGGTCAGGCTCTATGATGACAGCTCAGAGCCTGGAGCTTGCTTCAGATTCTGTGGTCTCCCTCTCTCTCTACCCCTCTCCCATCATTTTATAGATGATTTAATGCTCTGTCTCTCTTTTTCTCTCTCTCAAAAACATAAACATTAAAAAAATTTTTAAGAATATTCTGAGGTTTTTAGGATGAAGAGGTGTGATGTATTCAACCTACTTTCAAATTGTTCACAAAAAAAATATGTGATACCAACGTGTGTTTGTGAGAGAGAGAGAGAGAGAGTGAGTTTGGTGAAATTCTGGGTTAATAGGAACTCATTTATTTCCAGTGGAAGTATAAATTGGTCCAGTCTTTCTGGAAAGCATTTTGGCAATTTATCTCAAGTTTTTAGTTAAGCCTAGTAAGCTTACTTTTTCTTATATAGTAATTCTAGGAAGACTACAAAAAACTATGTATATGAGGATATTTATACAAGAGTGTATGAGTGAATGAATAATGAAAATTTGACAGTGACCTAAATATCCAACAATGTGAGACTGATTAAATACAATCAAAAACTCAAAGTATTAGAAATGATAGTATAAATCTATATATATTGATACAATGTCTGTAATGTATTTTTAAGGGTCCACACTGCTACTAAACATTATGAATAGTATTAACCTATTTGTTTTTTTAAAAAGATGCATGTACACAGGTATACACATGTTTGTACGTGTTTGATTTATTATGTGTAATCTGCAGGTGCATGTGTGTATATGTTATATACACGTACATACTTATATATGCATTTGTGTGTACATAGACATTTGGAAAGGTGATACCCTTATATTGCTAGTGGTTATTTTTGAATAAAAGGTTTATAAGTGGTTTTTATACTTTTTTATATTAACTAACTTTTTAGAAAAGAGTATATATTGCTTTTCACATCAAATTTTTCTAAGATAATGCCTCTTTTGAAGATTATGTGTTTTTATTTTATACCTTTGGAGCAACTTTTGGCATGCATCAGAAATAATGATATATTTGCTAGCTCTATATTAGAGTATATACGTAGTTCTTATGAGGCTAAATACACAGATTCTGGGCCTTGTTGATCAGGTGCCTTCATTCTGTTACATGGCCAGAGTCTGTATTCTTACTGCTCTATGAACTGTCTTACAAATGTGATGCTGCTCACACAGCTTAAGTGCACTACCATTTTTGGAAAATCAGAGTGCATGTTCTATTAATGACAATTGTGTAGTTAGTGCCTTTGTGTAGAACTTATATATATTTATTTTTGATTGTGGTCAACAGCACGTGCTTTGATATTAATGCTGGCTACTGTTTTTATAGATGATTTAATTTTTAGCAGTCAGATCTGAGGGATTTTCATTAAACTCCTATTTTAAATTTTGATTTTCCTTAACAGATTTTTCTTTAGTCAGTTAAAAATATGGATCCTGAGTCAGAGGGACCACAGATTATCAAAGTGACACCCCTTCAACAAATGTTTGCCTCTTGTACTGGAGCTATCCTGACATCACTAATGGGTAAAATAATGTTAATGTTATAGATTATGTAACTGTTATAGATTTCCATTTGAATTTACTGTCTGAAATAATGATAGTATTATCATTCATGCTTCATCATATCTCTCCATCAGCGTAACATAAAAATAACTCTGGAGAGAGAATCAAGAGACTTGAATTTTATTACAGTCTTTGCCATTCTTAGGCTGAGTGCAGTTTGAGACAGTCCCTACTTCTCTCTGAACTTCATTTTTACCTATGAAATCAGGGGCTCAGACCAATATTGAAGTGCCTGTCAATATTGAACTTTTATGACTCTATTAGCCTTTTTTAAAAGGAAACAAGAAAATAGGATAAAATATTAGTGTAATGAATGATTTAGAACTTGGGCAACTTATGGTAGCAACAAATACAAGTTACGTTTTCTTTTGCTTGCATTAACAGTGAATTTCTTAAATTCCTTTGGCCACATTTTCTGTTTTTTACAGTCTATTTCTTCTAGAGAAAGACAAACAATATAGTTAGGTGATAGATGGCTAGTTTATTTAGATAAGATAGCAGATGATTAGAACACATATAAATGTATTACTGTTGGATGTGCTATCTTACTTCAGTTACTGTTGTAAAGACCTTAAAGATAATCTAATGTGACTTCCTCATTCTCAGATAAGGAAAAGGTTTCTTCAACCACTATTCGGCATTTTTTCCTACTTGGATAAAATAGCATGCAAATGAAAACAATTCTCCTTTACTGTGCTATTCCCAAATGGAGTAACACAATGTGACAGTAAAGACGATTTATGGCTAGCTTACTCACTTTTTCATTATCTATAGTTTTTATTTGATATAGCTAAATTTAATGTGTTAGAAAAACTAATATTGTTGATTACTTGTAATAGAGTTATTCTCAAATTTTTATATAGACTTCTAAAACTTTTATTCTTTACCTTAGATGATATAGTTTCTTAAAAATACTAGTATTTTAGGTTTGGAATGGAATTATTATAGAAATATTATAAATGATAGTTTAGTGATGAGAGAAGTAATTGTCTTCTCATTGATCCTCTTTTAAACAGAATTCAAGGGCAAAAAATTAGAATGTTACATTTAAAACCACTTTGAGATAAATAATCTTACTCATATAGTCATGAAGAGGGGTATGATTTGCTACATTTTGTCATATTTGGACAAATATCTGTATAATTTACAGGTATTATTAATTAAAATTTATGTTTCTTCATAGTGACTCCTCTGGATGTCGTTAAAATTCGACTGCAAGCGCAAAGGAACCCATTCTCCAAAGGTATGTGTACTAGTTATCCTGAAAATCTTGTTAGGTTTTTAAATGTTACTTTATTCATTTTTGTTTGAAAAATATTTTTTGTTAATTTTTTAAAGTTCATGCCTCTTTATCCTCATGCAGAAATGCTTTTTGGCACGTACTTAGTTGTACGTGATGGAGTCTAGCCCTAAAACAAATATATATAAAACACTTATAACTCTTTTATATAGCTGATTAAAGTATCGGGTGATTTAATATTTGAGTATGTGTCTCACAAGAGCACAATTAAAAGTGTAAGGAATCTTAGACTCTAGCTTCCTCCTTAGTCTGAGAGTTCTGCCCATCCTAGAACATTCATCCAACAGTCATCCAACTGGTGCGTGAATATAGTGCTTAGAAATCATTATTTTATCAGGATAGTATGGTTTATGTGAATTTGAAAAGAGTAGTCATGTATTTTTATTAGATGGGAAAAAAATAGCAATTCCTTTATCAATCTTCCACAATTTTATAAAGATGATATTTTAAACATGTTAAAATTTTTTTTAATGTTTATTTATTTTTGAGAGAGAGAGAGAAAGTACAAGGTGGGGAGGGACAGAAAAAGAGAGGAACATGCAAAATCCAAAGGAGGCTCCAAGCTCTGAGCTATTAGCACAGAGCCCGACGCAGGGCTAAACCCATGAAACACAAGATCATGACTCAAGCTGAAGTCGGATGCTTAACCAACTGAGCTATTCAGGTGCCCCTCAAACATGTTTAAGTAGCAGAAAACAGATTGCTTGGACTATGAGAATGTTGGCTTGGACATAGATGCCCCTCTGATGAACACAGTACTGAGATGGAATGAACAATAGGCATATTTCAGATGGAGGAAAGTATACATGGATTATAGGAGAGTTAAAGGGAAGGTAGTTTCCTACACATTTAAGAAATCCTTAAAAGCAGAAGGAGACACTTAGACTTACATATTATGAAACTCACAGAATTATACATGGTTGAACAGAAAAGGTAATTTTGGCAGCTAGAGTGAGTCCAATAATTGGCAGGAGTTGCTATTAGGGAAAGTTGTAGTAAATTAGGTGGGAGCTGATGAATGTCTAGATTGAGCAGTATAAATAGAGAGCAAGGGACAAAGCATAGCACAATTTACATTGGTGAGAAGAACCTTTTTAAATAGTGTATTTTTCTAATTGGGATATAATTGACATATAACATTAATTAGTTTTAGGTGTGCCACATAATGAATTAATGTATGTGTGTATTGCAAAATGATCAACCCAGTAAGTTTAGTCAGTGTTCCATCACCTCACACAATTAACATTTTCTTGTGATGAGAACTTTTAAAATCTACTCTCTAAGCAACTTTCAAGTGTACATTAGATTTATGTGTATGTTTTTATTTATTTATATGTCTGTTTCACTTATGTATAGTCCAAAAAAAATTTTATTGCCTGAATTTCCCTTGTATACCACAGTTTTCTTCTTGTCAAATAGGATGTACACCCATGTTCTCTTTTCAAAACAGGTTTTCCTCCTTTATTTCCCCCCTGTATTCCCTCATATACCCTAAAAGAATTTATTTCTGTGTGCATTTGCTTTCTACATTCTGAAAATGTAAAATTTACTCTATTACTTTTCACTACTTTGAGTTTAGAGACTAGTGCTATGTCATAAGCAAATCAGCATATGTATTTTTCATCCTAAAAGGTGAAAACAAAGGTATATCTCTTTTCATAATTTTCTAGTCAACTCCTTGTACTTTGAATTTGTTCATCTGTAAAAATAGAATAGTTGTGTGAAGTAGGTTTTGACTGTTGGGATCTTCTTTGTTAGGAAAATGTTTTGTATATAGTAATGGACTTATGGATCATCTATGTGTTTGTGAAGAGGAAGGCAACAGAGCATGGTATAAGAAGCCAGGACGATTCCAGGGTACATTGGTAAGGAGATTATGTTATTTATAATCACAATATGTTTTCTATTTTTACGATTTATGTATGAAAGATTTTTCTAATTGTAAGAGAGTAAAAAGTCCATGACACAGCACAGTTATCCAGAGTTAAAAGGTAGATGTAAGGCAGGAAAAGGCAAGTACTGCTTTGCTTTTAATTAATTTATTAACTTTCTTTTCATCTGTTTGTACTTTTTTGTATGAAAAGAAAAAATGAACTTTTTAATTTTGACATAATTATAGATAATAACAATTTTAAGAAAAATATACAGACAGATCCCATATACCTTTTTCCTACTTCCCCCCAAGTGGTAACATCATACAAAAGTGGTACCATATCACATCCAGGATATTGGCATTGATACATTTAAGGTGTAGAATAATTCCATCACCACAAGGATCCTTCCTGTTTCCCTTTTATAGCCACACCCATTTCCTTTGTGTTCTCAACTGCTCCTTACTTAACATCTGGCAGCCGCTAATGTGTTCTTCATTTTTTTAAAAAAAATTTGTTAATGTTTATTTATTTTTGAGAGAGAGAGAGAGAGCACGTGAGCAGAGGAAGGGCAGAGAGAGAGGGAAACAAAGAATCCGAAGCAGGCTCCAGGCTCTGAGCTGTCAGCACAGAGCCTGACGTGGGGCTTGAACCCACAAACCGTGAGATCATGAAGTGAGCCAAAGTCGGATGCTCAACTGACTGAGCCACCCAGGTGCCCCATGTGTTCTTCATTTATATCACTTTCTCATTTCAAGAATGTTCTGTGGATGGAATAATAACATATATAACATTTTTGGATTAGCACTTTTCATTTATCATTATTATCTGGAGATTCATTCAGGTTGTTGCATTTATCAATAGTTTGTTCTTTTTCATTGCTCAGTAGTTCCATGATATTGATGTACCACAGTTTGCTTTTTGGGTTGTTTCTAGTTTGGGGCTGTTTCAAATAAATCTGTTACATAGATTCATTTCCGGGTTTTTGTGTGAAAGTATTAAAAAACAAAACAAACTACTCACTGTTTTTTTTCTGCGAACACTCTATTTACAACATTTCTCAACCAGATATGTGGGTTTTTTCCCTTATTCCAAACAATTCTTCAAGTATTAATGAACACCACCTAGGTATCCTAGAGTTTAACTCCATTCTGACACCATAGGACTATTCCCACTTCAGATGCCAATCATAGATCAGGTTGTCACCTGTGTTTCTGAGTAACTGGTTGTAAACAAAGGTTCCTGCAACCCCCTTTTCAGATTCAGTGAATTGCTAAATAGCTCACAGAACTCAAGAAAATAGTTTACTAACTAGATGACCAGCTTTTTATGAAAGGGTACACCTCAGGAATATAGCCTGGTAGAAGAGACACATTAGTGCAAGACTCGGGGGGTGGGTATGGAGCTTCATTCGCTAGGTATGTCACCCTCCTTGAATTTCCATGTGCTGTGCTCACCAAGTTGGAAGTTTTTTTTTTTTTTTTTTTTTTTTTTTTTTTTTTTTTTTTTTAAATGTTTTGTAACGTTTATTTATTATTGAGACACGGAGAGACAGAGAATGAACTGGGGAGGGGCAGAGAGAGAGGGAGACACAGAATCGGAAGCAGGCTCCAGGCTCTGAGCTGTCAGCACAGAGCCCGACGCGAGGCTCGAACTCACGGACCGCGAGATCATGACCTGAGCCGAAGTCGGACGCTCAACCGACTGAGCCACCCAGGCGCCCCCCAAGTTGGAAGTTTTTAAACCCCATACTTGAGGGATTTTTTAAGGAGGCTTTGTTATATAGGCATGATTGATCAAATTATTGGCCTTTGGTTATTAATGTAACCTCTTGTCCCTTTTTCCTCCCCAGAGCCCCTGAAGTTGGGGTGTGGGTTAGAGTAGTGGAGTGAGACTAGAAGTTTGAGCCCTTTAATCACATGGTTGGGTACTCCAGCAGCCAGCCCCCCATCCACTGCTTATCTAGGGACTTTTCATGTTTATTTTTTATTTTTTTCTTTTTTCAGGGAGAGGGAGAGAGCATGTGTATACTAGCAGGGAGAGGGGCAGAGGGAGAGAGAGAATTTTAAGCAGGCTCCATTCTCGGTATGGAGTGGGACTTGATCCTTGACCCTGGGATCGTGACCTGAGCTGAAATCAAGAGTCAGACAGGACTACTCACCTGACTTGAGCCACCCAGGTGCCCAGTCCTGAGGGACCTTTCATAAGTCACCTCTGTAGCATAAATTTGATGGGGTTTGAAAGAGATTTGTTACATGTCATAGACTCTAAGTCTAAAGCTCTCTTTTGGCCAGCAAAAGAGCGGGATGCACGATGAAAAGCAAGAGATGGCTAATGTCTGGGAAAAGACAAGAGCCCTGAATCAGGGTTTTTATTAGCCCCATTTTTATTAGGATCAGAAGGCTTGCAAACATGATGGGCATGTACAAAGAAGCAATGAATCTGTGAACATTAACTTGGGGACATGAGGAAAAGGGGGTCTTGAAGATATTCGGGGTTAGGGGTTTGGGTTAAAACAAAACAAAATCTGGGCGCCAGGCAGTTGGGCAGAAGGTTGTTTACAGTGGACGTGAAGTACCACCTCCGTTTATCTTAGCTAGACTAGGGGATGAGACAGATAGGACACTTGACTTCAGAGTTAATAAGGCACCTTTCTTTTGTTAATCATCTCAGCTCTGGGCAGCTTCACCTGCATCACAGCAGTCTATAGCTCAATTTACCTGTTTATGTAACTTGGTCCTTTCCTCCTGTGAAAGCAGCTTTTTGCTATAGTACTAAATTGGGGGGCACTTCTGCCCTGAACACCTAATCTTGCTTACCTCATAAATCTTTGTATTGGGCGCCTTTGTGCCCTTCTCTATCCTGGGGTTCCTTTGCACCTCCCTATTGTTGGGGTGCCAATCTTGTTTACCCAAGCTCGGGTGTGAGCATCCTATGGCCTTGTATTTCTTTATGCCTTGTTAACCCATTGGTGTAAGCCGGGGGGGGTTCCTAAGTTTATCCCCCACAGTTATGAGTAACAAAAGATACCCTTTTCACCTTTATTCTTTGGAGCTTTGTAGGACTAAGAAAAAAGGCCAAATATTAGAACAAAAGATGCTCCACTGCTCTTTATCAATTAGGAAATTATATTGATTTTAGGAACTATGTGCCAGGAACCATGGACAAAGACCAAAATGTATATTTCTAATTTTATAAGTCCTAATATCATCATAAGTCTTCATTTTTCTGGGATAAATGCCTAGGAGTGCAGTTGTTAGGTCACATGGTAGTTGTATGTTTAGAGTTTAAGAAACTGCCAATCTGTTTTCTAGACTAGTGGTACCATTTTACATTGCCAGTGGCAGTGTGTGACTGTTCTAATTTCTCCATATCCTCACTAGCCTTTGATGTTGTCACTTTTTAGCAGTTTTGATAGATGTCTAATGATATCTCATTGTGGTTTTAATTTGCATTTCCTTAGTGGCTAATGATGTTGAACATCTTTTCATATGCTTATTGTTTATTAGTATATCCTCTTCAGGGACATGGCTTCTCATGTCTTCTGCCCATTTTCCAATTGAACTCTTTGTATTTTTACTGTTAAGTTTTGAGAACTCTTTATAAAATCTAGATAATAATCCTCTCTCGAATGTGGATTTGCACATATTTTTTCCACTCTCAGACTTACCTTTTCATCCTCTTGAACAGTCTTTCATGGAGTTAAAGCTTAATTTTGATGCAGTTCAACTTATCATTTTTTTTCTTGCTTTAGGTGTCAAATCTAAGAATGCTTTATCTTTAATAAGTTTTATAGCTTTATGTTTTATGTGTAAGTCTTTGATCCATTTTGAATTATTCTTACATAAAGTATAAACCCAAGGTTGACCTTTTCATTGCTTTTGTTCATTTTGCCTATGGGTTTCTAGTTGGATTTGTTAAAAGGCTGTCTTTCCTCCATTAGGTGCTTTTGCACATTTATCAAGAATCATTTGGGCATACTCTGTGGCTCTAGTTTTGAATTCTTTACTCTCTCTCATTCATTTTTTTGTCTATTACCTATATCAGTACCACACAGTCTTTTTTTTTTTCTTTATTTAATATATTATTGTTTTTTAAATTTACGTTCAAGTTAGTTGTCATATAGTGTAACAATGATTTTAGGAGTAGATTCTGTAATGCCCCTTATCCATTTAGCCTGTCCCCCCCTCCCACAACCCCTCTGGTAACCCTCTGTTTGTTCTCCATTATTTAAGAGTCTCTTATGTTTTGTCCCCCTCCCTGTTTTTATATTATTTTTGCTTACCTTCCCTTATGTTCATCTGTTCCGTGTCTTGAAGTCCTCATATGAGTTAAGTCATAGGATATTTGTCTTTTTCTGACTAATTTTGCTTAGCATAATACCCTCTGGTTCCATCCACGTAGTTGTAAATGGCAAGATTTCATTCTTTCTAATTGCCAAGTAATACTCCATATTTTATATATACCATATCTTCTTTATCCATTCATCCATCAATGGACATTTGGGCTCTTTCCATACTTTGGCTGTTGTTGATAGTGCTGCTATAAACATTGGGGTGCATGTGTCCCTTTGAAACAGCATACCTGTATCCCTTGGATAAATGCTTAGTAGTGCACTTGCTGGGTCGTAGGGTAGTTTTGTTTTTAATTTTTTGAGGAACCTCCACACTGTTTTCCAGAGTGGCTGCACCAGTTTGCATTCCCACCGGCAGTACAAAAGAGATCCTCTGTCCGCATCGTCCCCAACATCTGTAGTTGCCTGAGTTGTTAATGTTAGCCATTCTCACAGATGTGAGGTGGTATCTCCTTGTGGTTTTGATTTGTATTTCCCTGATGATGAGTGATGTTGAGCATTTTTGCTTGTATTTCCCTGATGATGAGTGATGTTGAGCATTTTTGCATGTGTCTGTTGGCCATCTGGATGTCTTCTTTGGGGAAGTGTCTATTCATGTCTTTTACCCATTTCTTCACTGGATTATTTGTTTTTTGGGTAT